TTGAATCTTTGATCTATGTCTATCTGATGTGTATCAAATCATTCTTCCCCTGTCCGTGTGTTACTAAGTCGTTACTAAGTCTTCGAAAATATGTCTAAATCTCCTAAATCTGATTCTTTTTTAATTTATCTGGCATTGTTATTATTTTTATGGTTTTACCAATATAATTGTTTCTAACTTCGTCATTTCTACGACACTTAATTTTTTATTGCATTATCTATTGACTGCTCAACATTGGATATTAGTTGGTCTAGTGGTTATTTTGCAAAACCATACATTCAACCTAGGAGATATACGTTGATCACGTAACATCATATCAAATACATACCCCCTACTTGCTCTACTTTCTTTCAATTATATGATTTATCATCGTCTTTAATTTATCCTTCCTTATGAATAATTGACCACAAATACTGAAATTGTACACTTTTTAATATCTCTTGACATTTAATCTTTATTACAACGTTGTCCGATTTTCTACTATTACTAAAACTATATTCAATAAATTCAGTTTTATATTTACTAATCCTGAATCCTAGTTTTATTTTAGAAAACCTAGTTTTAGTTCTGTCACATGGAGATTCAACTACAGTATCCAAGTTGCTCCAGTTTCCTTGGTTTAAAGTTCTGTGAATACGGATTAACAGCTAATGTATTCTAGCCTCTCGAGATGTGCGTGAAGTAGTTACATAATCATGCAGCAGATCGTGAGGTTATTCTCTTCTAGACTAGGTTTGCTTATATTCTAAGTTAACTCTCTTGAGAGAGTATATATAACTCGGGAAGTTTTTGGGTATGTCCCGAACTACATTGTATATCAATTTCTCATTCAACGATATCATTTTTACTGATCAGAAAAAGAAATATTAGGAGTAGTTCCTCTTTATGTTTTAGGTGATATTCGTTCAGTAATGTCTACTACTTCCAGAGCCCTANGTATATATAACTCGGGAAGTTTTTGGGTATGTCCCGAACTACATTGTATATTCAATTTCTCATTCAACGATATCATTTTTACTGATCAGAAAAAGAAATATTAGGAGTAGTTCCTCTTTATGTTTTAGGTGATATTCGTTCAGTAATGTCTACTACTTCCAGAGCCCTAATTGGACTATATATGTTTCCTATTCATGTTGTTGTTCTAATAATGCTCCCTTTTTTCATGCTGTTGGCCTATTTTGCATTGAACTTGGTTCCGAAATCTCTCTCCCTCTCTATCTCTCCCTGTACTGATCACACAAATATACACATGCTTCCATGAATCGAGAATGAAAGATCAAAACGTTCTTGCAGAACAGCCATTGAAGGGGAATGTAGCTAGGATTAGGGTTTGTATTGGAATTTGTAAAGCCATTCAGCTCATTAATTAGTTTGCTTTCATTATTATTTTACTTTTTCATATGAAGTTTCTATTACTCGGTAGTCATGTTCTTTTCTTAGACCAATCTTTCCTGTTNCTTGCAGAACAGCCATTGAAGGGGAATGTAGCTAGGATTAGGGTTTGTACTGGAATTTGTAAAGCCATTCAGCTCATTAATTAGTTTGCTTTCATTATTATTTTACATTTTCATATGAAGTTTCTATTACTCGGTAGTCATGTTCTTTTCTTAGACCAATCTTTCCTGTTCAGTTGTGAAGTTGCTGGCCATCAGCTTAGCTTTCTTTTTCTTTGATTCAACTGTTTGGGTGTTTGAACCAAGTTACGCGCAGTTTGACTTATTTCTTCTTTGGTTCGGTGAAAGACATGTTATTCATGTCAGATTTAAAGTATTCATAGTCAGATTTAAAGTATTCATAAAGGATAAATCTTTTATGGTTTGGTCTAAAGGAATGTTGTTAAGATTCGAATTCAAAGTAGATGAGTTTACGGTTCATCTTTGTTATCACCAACCGATGCCTTTGCTTTGTCTCAACGATGTTGNTCAGCTTAGCTTTCTTTTTCTTTGATTCAACTGTTTGGGTGTTTGAACCAAGTTACGCGCAGTTTGACTAATTTCTTCTTTGGTTCGGTGAAAGACATGTTATTCATGTCAGATTTAAAATATTCATAAAGGATAAATCTTTTATGGTTTGGTCTAAAGGAATGTTGTTAAGATTCGAATTCAAAGTAGATGAGTTTACGGTTCATCTTTGTTATCACCAACCGATGCCTTTGCTTTGTCTCAACGATGTTGATATCATAATGTTCTTTTAATTACTTCTGTTCTTCCCACAGAATTTGGAGCAGTCTTTACTTCTGTTCTTGCTACACAATTTGTTATTTTACCAGGGAATTACTTCAGAATTTGGAGTCTCAATTATCACATTCTCTTTTCTATTATGGATTCAACTATGATATTGTACCGAAATTTACAACTAAATAATGCCTGGTATAACTCTTTTAGGTCAAATTATAATTGATCTTCAAAAAGTTTGGATTAATTCTTAATGTTATTATCGAGCCTCACCTAAAATATGAGGATCGATTGTAGATAGCCCAATTTTTGTATAAATTATAACCACACTAAGTTGAAATTTCAGTATAATATCAGAAAAAGACTTTTCAGCACCGTAGTCGGACTATTGGTGTACAAACCACAAAAAAGCACGTTATTTGAGTAGTACCCCGAAAGCAGCAGTGGTCCAATGCAATTCTGTGGTCTTCATCGCCCTCGGCACTTGTGGGAACAAAGGGCAGACATGCATGCAAGTGAAGGACCATTGAGGCGCTATTCAAGAGATCACAAGGTACATAGAGAATCGATTTAATCATGAAAAAAGTGATATCAAAGCACTCTTTTGTAGACATCCACAGGCTCGTCACCTCAATGTCCACACCAGTGGCCAACAGAGATTAGCAAATCACAGCTCATTGTAGGGTTGGGCATTCAGAAAAATATTGCAGACCAGCTAATAATAATTTTTTTGGGTGTGACCAATGATTGTTCAGATGAGTTGACATTGGCGCAGCGATAAGTTTTTTCTTCTATAAACTCAACATAATGGTTTCAATAGAATTATGTAATTTCCTCTTCTTCTTTTTTCGTGTGAGCAACTGTTATGCAAGTGAAAACTTCTCTAGTGCTCGTTTCTTCTCCTCCGATCCATCATAACTAGTTGATTGGATTCCGATGATCCAGCTTGGATGTGGTATGGTCCTACAATTTTTCACCCAATTCTTTGATACGATATGGGCAAGCACAAATCATTTTTGAACCTAATCCCATGTTAACCAAGTTCCAAGTTGCAAATTCCAAATCCCACCTTATGGGGGAAGACAAGCTACCTTTACTTAGGAGCTTTTTTGTTTGGCTCCTTAAAAACCATCGACTTGTACATGAGGATGAGAACTCGAACAATGATAGGGTTAAACCTATACAATTGTATAGGACTGATAACATGTTATCTTGTATTTACATTAAAATAGTTTCAACTCATGCTCAACTATTTATAATCATGTCGGGTAGGGTTTGTATGGTATTTAATAAATTTATATGTATTTAACTTAAGTTCGTATTAATCTATTTACTTGCTAGATCAAATACATTTAATTTTTTTTATCACCCAAATTCTGTAAGACTAAACACAAACCTATGGATCCATTTCATGCCTAATTGGAGAGTTGTGACTGCAAGTGTCAGGCCTACAATTCTGTTCAGGGTCAAAGAGATGTTGAGTTTGTGCAGCCTTGAATCTATAGACTCTGTCTTGGACATGGGGGCTGGGTTTTCCAAGACCCAGACAAATCTAACCCACCAATCTATTTTGCCTAATGACACTGTCTACAACCACAGAAGAAATTCAAAAATAGCTTAAGAGGTGACAAAAAATGAGTTATAAATTTAGACATTTTGAATTTAAATTTTAGTATTTTCTTGGAGTCAGGTTATAAAAGTTTTATCCCTTATTAACAGAGACCAGTATTTCTTTGATATCTGTAGGTATTGCCTGACAACCACCACCTACTGGAGTGCTAAAGATTAACTGTGATGGAGCTTTTCTCCAAGAGACAAAAGATGGAGCGTTTTCTATTTTGGTCTGCGATCATGAAGGACGTTGTATCTTAGGTGAGGCTCAAAGGTTGGTGGCATCATCCGCTTTGGTTACCGAGGCCCATGCAGGTAGGAGAGCATGTAAGTTAGCAGTGGAACAAAGATATGATAGAGTAATTATTGAATCTGACNGAGGTGACAAAAAATGAGTTATAAATTTAGACATTTTGAATTTAAATTTTAGTATTTTCTTAGAGTCAGGTTATAAAAGTTTTATCCCTTATTAACAGAGACCAGTATTTCTTTGATATCTGTAAGTATTGCCTGACAACCACCACCTACTGGAGTGCTAAAGATTAACTGTGATGGAGCTTTTCTCCAAGAGACAAAAGATGGAGCGTTTTCTATTTTGGTCTGCGATCATGAAGGACGTTGTATCTTAGGTGAGGCTCAAAGGTTGGTGGCATCATCCGCTTTGGTTACCGAGGCCCATGCAGGTAGGAGAGCATGTAAGTTAGCAGTGGAACAAAGATATGATAGAGTAATTATTGAATCTGACTCGAAGCAACTCATTGATTCCCTGCATATAGGCTGTGGGGATTGTTGAATGGAGATTGCACCTATCCAGCAAGATATCAGGAACTATGCGATATTGGTTCCTTCCATTGAGTTTCATGCGGTAAGAAGAATTCAAAACAAGGCGATTTATTGTTTGGTAGCTCATGCCAAAAATAGTTCTGTTCATTTTTAGGGGATTGATGCTATAAAAAGAATTTCGATGGGTATCATTAGGCAAGAAAACAGAGTAGTAGTAGGTTGAGTGCAAGAGTTTGTAATGACTGCTGGGTTATGTTTTGATTAATTAATAAAATTATATTTTTTTGATCAAAAAAAAATTAATTGAAATACACGTTAGTTACTCCAGACAACCCTGTTGAAACAAAAAAAAAAAAAAAAAAAAAAATAAGAACCCCAAAGTCCAGTCTTTTGCTCAATGCATTGGTTCTTTCACCTAATGTTTCTCTAAATATGTCACTCCAGAAGGTCCTGCAAAACCTCCAAACTGTGAAAAGATGTCACCTCCCAAACCCAAACCCAAACCCAAACCCTGCCCTAGATACGGATCATAAAATTGCAAAAGCCATCATTTCCACAATCTTAACCACCACCTGCCCTTACCAAACCAACCCAACCACCACCACCACTACTACCACCCTCCTCTCCAACCTCACACCCAGCATAATTAAACACATACTCTCTGATCCACATCTCAAAGCCCCCAAATGCCTCGACTTCTTTAATTTCCTACTCACAAACCAATCTTTAATCTCATTCGAGCCTGATCTTGAAGCCCACCTAACCCTGGTTTTCAGGCTACTCAAGGCGAGGAAGTTCAGCGATGCCGAGAATCTGTTGAGGTCGCTGTCAAATGATGAAGATCTCAGGTACCCATTTTCTGTAATAGCTTCTTTCGTTGAGAATCACTGCGATGATTCAAAAATTACAACTGAAATATTCAATTTGATGCTTAAAGTTTATTCCGATAATCGAAAATTCGAAGAGGCGTCTGAGGCTTTTGATCATATGAGAAAGAATGGAATTGAGATCAATGAGAGAACTTGTACTGTTCATTTGATTGCACTTATGAAATGTGATCTAGTGGGATTAGGTCTAGAGTTCTTTTATCGTATGCTTCAATCTGGTATTGAGGTTTCAGTGTTTTCCTTGACTGTTGTGGTTGATGGATTGTGCAAGGGCGGCGAGATCAAAAGGGCTAAGGAATTGGTGGAGGAAATGGAGGGTAGAGGTATAAAACCCAATATTATTACATGTAATACATTGGTGGCTGCATGTGCTAAAAGATGGAATTTTGAGGAGTTGCATATGATCTTCATGTTGATGAAAAAAGCTGGAGTGGAATTCAATGTTGAGACATACAAATTTTTAATTGACGGGTTATCAAGCTCTGGGAAGATTGAAGAGGCCGAAAGAATGGTTATAGAGATGCATGGCAAAGGTTTTAAAGTAGATACTCATATGTACAACTTGATTATAAACGGGTGGTGCAGATTAGGGAATTTGGAGAAAGCATTATCGCTGTGCTTTACGATGAAGGATAGAAGTGTTTGCCCAAATGCTTATACGTATTGGACCATAATTGGTAGTCTTTGTAAGGTTGGACAGCTAGAGACAGTGAAGGAACTTGTAGATGAGATGCTGAACAAGCGAATTGAGTTGGACCAGGTTACATTCAATACTTTGATTAATGCTTATTGTGAGGAAGGAATGATGGATGAAGCCATTGGGTTATTAGCTCTAATGGAGAAGAAAGGAATTGTAGCCTGTGTATCTGTGTATGACATGGTAATTAGTGGGTTATTTAAGTTCAATCGGACTGAAGAGGCAAAGTGCCTGTTGAACATTGTTGTCAAAAGGGGTCTGACCCTTAATATGTTGAGCTTCAGTCCTTTGTTTGATACAGTAGGATATTGTGGATACGAAGGTGCAGTTTCCAGAGATCAAGAAATGGGAGTGAGCCCCAGTAGTGCTGCTTATTATGATCTTGTGGATGAGCAGTTGGAACTGGATACATAGAGTGTCACTTTGTTGTGATAATTTTGTAGATGGGCAGTAAAATATGCAGGGAAACCGTTGGAGCAGAATTGAGCAGGTGGTCAAAGTCCAGTAGCTGGGTATTTCTTGCGACTTGCAAGACAGAAATGGAGGTTAGAGGTCCCAACGAGGGTTTGTCAGTGGAGGACCCTTCCATGTCAAGAACAATTGGTTAGACTAATAGGGTCCTTCCTCTAATCCTCTTGCACATATCTGNCAGAAATGGAGGTTAGAGGTCCCAACGAGGGTTTGTCAGTGGAGGACCCTTCCATGTTAAGAACAATTGGTTAGACTAATAGGGTCCTTCCTCTAATCCTCTTGCACATATCTGTTTAACTTGCAGAAGCTTCATGTTCTTTATTCTAGTGCAAAAATGAAAGATTGACATCATAGATTCACTGAAAGACAAAAGAGTAATAAATTCTTTAGTGTGACAAAGACTCGACAAAGATGTCAAGACTCCGCACTCACTTCCATTCCACACTTAAATCAATTTGCCACTCCAACCAAGCATCACACCCCACACAATGCTCCACCTGGCAAGTCCCTCTCTCAAGCCTACCAACTCCATCAAGCCTTCTTCTTGTAAAATGGACCTCCCTCCAAAGATCAGGTCAGTGCTCTACATTCAGTCACATGAGTCATGGGAAAATCTCTTGTCGAGTCTCTTCCCTTTTAACTACATCATGCCTCTTGTATTTAACTGACACTCATTTAGGCATCGGAGTTTCTTCCACTGGCACCCTGCCAATGGAACTTCTAGCCTTCTTTCTATCTTGCAGAACCTAATGAGATGATAACAAAGTGCATGCTATGAGTGTGGGATTGGAAACATGAAGATATTTTCTGGCCCGCCTAGGAAAAGTCAGATGAAACAATGGGTTTCATAACTAGATAATAACAAAGGATCTGGAAGTGATTGCTCATTGCATAATGGTACATTGATGTCCATAAAAAAGGAAAGGGCTACCGTCTATTCTATCCTATGAACCATTATATATGGGAGGATTTGAGTTCAATTGGATATGGCTTTCTGACGTTTCTTATTGCGGGCAGGCATTTGTATTAGCTTAAGTATACTGCATAAGATAGTGCATAGTTTTGGTAGATTAGAGTTATTTGTATTTATGGAATCTAAAACAACCATATGGTAATGAATCAGGATTTCAAAATTTTTATTGAGAGTTCAGTGCCATTGCTTCTTGAATTGTTCTTGTGTTTGCTCCTATCATTGAAGATATAGATCGATAAAGCAATAATTGTTATCAGCATCTCTGCTTTTGCCCAACAGCCTTCATTGAAAGCTGTTGTTTGCAATCTATAAATAGAGGACTTAGTACCGACAAAATAATAATAATAATAATAATAATAATAATAATAATTTGGTATTGGAGCTCTAAAATTTATTATTTTAATTTGTGTTTTTTATAATTTTTATGAGTCATTTTTTAACCAAAAAATTTATCACTTTTAGAGGTAGTTTACTATTATTGTGGTAACTATTTTTATTACTTTTCTTCGGTACAAAAAAATTACCATTTTTATGAGCATTTTTATTAATATTGTGGTAACTATTTTTTTCGGTGTCATAACAATGGTAAAAACACGTACAATAATAATAAAAATATCCATAAATGTGGTAAATTAGGGTATAATATCATTTTTTTTTTGTACCATAGGCAAGTACATAAATAAATAGATATAAATGGAACTCTATAAAAACGTCATAGTTCTGGTCAACCAATCCAAATGAAAAAAATATTCATTGTAACGGTGATATTATGTTAACATTGTTATATGATATTATTACCGACCAATAATATGTAAACAAATAGAAAAATGGACCACACACAAACAAACGAATAACTACATGGCCATGTAAGTCAATAATCACCAACTTTTCTCCCATATTCTTGACCTATTATTTGTTCAATTTAGTCGATATGATACTTAGTTAATTATTTTATTTTTAACACAAGNCGAACGAATAACTATATGGCCATGTAAGTCAATAATCATCAACTTTTCTTCCATATTCTTGACCTATCATTTGTTCAATTTAGTCGATATGATACTTAGTTAATTATTTTATTTTTAACACAAGGGAATGTTATTGAGGCAAAAAATCATCAAGCCTCAATGAAATAGACCTAGCCAAGTATGGAATAGCCATTCTGCTAGACTTCCCCGCCATGTCCTTCATGCTATGAAGTAAAAAGGGAAATAAATCTTAATCTGATGGCTTGGCTTGCATGTCTGTGCTTTTTAACTTCAGCATAATGGTAAAATTTCTCATGCGCAACTCCAACTCACTATTTATTTCCTCTTGTCTCAGTTATTTTACGTAGTCAAACACTAACAAAACTCTCCTACCTACTCTCTATTTCCCATTTCACCTAAATGTCTCTCCAAATTTAGAGAGACATTCAGCCTCTCCAAACTCTCTCTCGCTCTCTCTATATATATATATATATGTGTGTGTGTGTGGCAATCCCCTTCAAAGTTAGTTGAAATAATTAGTTAAAATATAAAGGGTAGTTAGAGTGAACTTGTAAAAATAATTCTCTAAAATAGAAAATAAAATATTTAAATATATTTTGAATAGCTAAAATGAAAGGTTAAGTTAGAATTACTCTAAGTCAACAAGAAAATATTACATAACCCAAATAAAATATAAAAGTTAAAACTCAAATGGATATCATCTTTTGAATAAGTGTGGAATGAGTGGATCCTACTAAAAAAATTGATAGAACCTACTTATCATAGGAATGATTTGAGTTATAATTTTTTAGGTTTTATTTGAGTTTGTTAGCATTGCTCAAGTCAATAACTAGTCAAGTAAGATTTATTTTACCTATTTAATATTTTATTATTAATTGATGATAACTCTGTTACATTAAATATTATTGTTTATCAACCTGGTGAAATTGAGGTTTGGTTGATAGACAGCAAAATATTTACGTATTCTTCCTGGATGCTCAAATTCGCAAACAGACTCATCAAATAGTGACAAGCTACATTCACTCAGCCCAGGCAAGCAACTCAATACCCTAAAGAAGTGAGCTCTCTCTCTCTCTCTCTCCGACCCATCTACACTTTTACACAGATCCTACAACTGCTATGTTGTTATTGGTCAGTTTTGCCAAATGAAAAGTGAAAATGAAGCAAAACAGATTGGAGGAGGACATCCCTTGCGTAGCAGATCTGTACTTAACATTTCTACGAAAAAGAGGAGGAACTCATATACTATACTGCAAGTCTAGGAGAAGAACAAAGGCAAAAAAAAAAATTGTTAAAACTTGACAAAACTGTGCCGCTACCTCTGCTGGGCTCCTGAGAGATTGAGATTATCGATCACTAAACCATGCTTTCCGAAGGTTGGAATACTAAGAGAACGTCTTCTTATTTTGACATTGCCAGATGATGGCACTCTCTTCTCATTTTTCTCCTTCCGTAGAGAAGAGTAAGAGCATAGAGCTGGCTCAGACACAAGCTCACTATTTGCTCTCAAGAAGAGGTCAAGATTTTGTCTATACTTCTCTCCAGGGATGCAATTAACCCCGTCAATTGATTGGTCTCCTGAAATAGGCACCAGCTTACTATTGGTCTCTTCATCATCATCGGACCAGTAGCCATTCTCTTCAACATCTTGCATGGCAAGATCATTATACTCCTCATCTGACTTGGTATACTCTTCATCCACAGAGCCTTCCATCTGAAAATGGAGAAAATGCACTTTAAAGTACATGTAAATCCAGAAGCAAAAACAAAAAATTGGCCACAATGATTGCTGGCATAAAAACACGTGAATAATTATTATTATACTCTTAACAATTCTACTTAAGAAGATGCACTGCTGTCAAATCTGTAAAATTTGAAATTTGAACTGTGTGTGTGTGAAATTTGAATCTGGTTATGGGTGGATTTGCCACTTGGTAATAAGAATTTGGTAAGGATATTTGGTAGGGGTAACAAATAAATGTAGCACTGAAAATCAACAATGAAATTCCTGCATCAGTGGCGGGCAGATGGAAGAACCATCAACTTCCTTCTGGCATCAGCATCAAGACTAGAAGATAATTACACCTGTACTGATCCATCATCATTTGTGGTTAGTCAAAATCTCCAAAAGTAATACAGCATATATCACGGGCAATAGGATTGTGGTGAACTGCATGCAATCAGAAAAGCCGTATGCACCTTGGGGAAACCTGTCAGTTCTTTATATATATTTTCTGAAATGACCAGAAAGCTCGTACATACCTCTTCATGTATCAGTTTTTTACCATCATCACTAACATCCTCATCACTGTCTACCTCTGATGGATTGTCAACCTCTTCATCACTACCATGCACGGAGTGTTCCTCCTTCAGCTGAAAGTAGGAAGGGAAACCACAAGCAAAGGAAAAAAGGGGATAGGAAAGAGAATCAAAAACCCATAACTAGAAGCAGCAACTTACGAAATAATATGATGAAAACAGAACATCTTGTTGATAATGAAGATTTACATGTTTCTACTTTCTATCAACATTACTGAAACTAGGCCTATATGGTAACTTCCAGCAAAGGAACTTTTGATTAAAGGAAGATCTGGCAAAATGTTAACACAAACCTCCTTGGCAGGTCCATCAGAGATCCTTGGTGAGCTGCAGCAGGAAGAGTAACATCTACTACCATTATCAGTCAGGTCACCCCTTGACTCATCAACACTGCCGGCATGACTTGTGCCACCAGTATCACTGGGCCAAGCACTGATCCCGAAGTGACCAAACTGCAGATTAACAGGTTCAGCTTTACTTATTTGTAATGGTCCATACATAGGTGTTCCTATCCCATTCTCTATGGACTGGCCCAGAACAGGCTTTCCACTATAGTAAATTGAATCGACTGGCCAAGCCTTTGCCACAGAGCCATCGGTATTCAGAAGAGCCATCAAATGCCTAGAAGAACCTTTTCTTTGGATCAGCTGAAACATTCCTTTGGAGCTTAATGAATTTGCAGTACACTGATTCCTGTACTCCTCATCAATTAAAGCAACTGTGTTGGTGATGGGATCATAGAGCTGCTCTCCCACCTCACGCCTTCGTAGGCAGCTGAAAACTGTTGCATGGATAGCTGCCACACTCTTATCAACATTGGTATTATTTATCTTCGGCACCAGATGCTTGTCAGCTCGATTGCAGAGATATTCTTGGATTGTTCTAATATTCCGAATATATTTTACGTACTTGTTCTTAGCCGGTTCCAACGTCATGTACTTTGCACGTACTGCAAACCTTTCCAAGTGTTTCTCCTCGTTTGTGATGTATATCATGAATGGTATGATTGAAGGGTGTTTCGTCATAAGCCCCATCTGAGCAATCAAAGAAAAACTGAGATTAGAACTGAACAAAAATAAAAATCTTTGCGAGAAAGACCTTTCATGATTAAGTGTGAACCATACCACAAAATTAAGGCTTAAGTGAACACCCTCAACGACAACTGATTCTTTCCGCTCTTCCCATGCAGTGATCAGCCGATCGAGACTTTCGATGACCATTTCACTTTGTGCCTTAAATCCTTCAACAGCCATCTGTTTTGGACTGATCAATTCGACAGTACTAGGACCCCCCTCAAGAGATGATTGTTCAATTGTGGAACCTTCAAATATGTCACCCTTTGTCAGTGAAGGGGCTGAAACACCAGCTAACTTTTTTGCTTTTTTTTTCGCCTTTGCTTCTGCAACAGCCACAGGATCCAAGTACTCTCCAGCATGGTAAGTTGATGCCCAAAGTAGAGGGTTTTCTTTTTCATCTACAAAGCTCCTCATCATATGTCGTATTGAGTCAGTAGATATCACAGTTGTGATCCCCAACCTGCTACCCTGCAAAAGTGATTTAGGAAGCACTCAAAGATTGAATAACAAATTTTATATTATTTTATATTAACATACATTGAATATACAATGACTGGTTACATAATTTGTCATTTTGTCCAACACATTCTCAAAACTCAAAATTCAAACATAGATGCAAATGTATTCTATCTTAAAGTTTTTACGTTGTGTCTGGATTCAGAAGTACAGATTACCAAAAGCCACTCAACCGAAGTCTGTAGCAAAGGCTAATGATAGTAGGATATGTAGAAGCAATAAAATTTTCCAGATCATTTGCTTCCAAAAAATAGTCGAATGCGGGGTTATCCCCTATTTTAAAATTTATTCCCCAGGAATAACAATTCCTCAAAAGCTGATCAAATTAAGAAATAAAAAATAATTTTTGTAACATCTATAGTAAAAGTGATGAGCAGAGCACATGATTCAATCATTCACTAAACACGTGCATTATCAAATGTCAAAACTTACAATATCGTTTTCTATGAACACTAACTACAACTTTATATACTACAAATTATGACTATCTAACACAAGAATAACACCAAGCAAAGGAATTGCAAAAAATGCCATAAACACTCCAGTACATACAAAAGCAAAGCAGGAAAAAAGAGTACTTTGGACAACAAAAATAAATACCAGCAGCGCAGACAAAGTAGATTTGCCACAGCCACTAGTGCCGCATAAAAGCACGGTAACAGATTCCTTCCTTTCCCGGATTCTGGAACACGTAAATAATCTCTTAGGAAAAATGAAAACAGAGCATAGCATATGGAAAAAAATGATATCACACAATTTACAATCAGAAACAATAAACTCCAAAAACAGAAAGATAAACTCTTTTGTGCCGCTAAACACACATTGTAACAACTAATAAGCAACATAACTCAACGTATGATGCTTGTCAGTTCGCAGTATGATGCAAAGAAGCTGCAACTGATTTAATTAATGTGGTGGTGACCCCAACAATCACGACTTGGGCATGAAACTTTATTATAGTGTCAGATAAGTCTCATTTTCACCTTGAGACCAACTCAGAGTGCTAATTTTATAGAAAAAAAACAATAATTCTTGCCAAAGTTTTCTTGGACCCGCATACCATATTATGCTTGATACGATGTAAATGCAAAACCCACAATTTCAAGGCAAATTTGTCTGTTAGATTTCTATGCCAAATAAGAAGAAAACATGGCATTTCATAATTGATTATCCAAACATGTATATCAGATATCTATTACCACAAACTACACCTTTGGAGGTACAGCATTTATACAACAAAAATGTTCAAGAACAGAGATCAAGTCAATTCAAGTGCCCTATGGGATTAATCCCAAAAAATATAGGACACGTGAAGGTAGAGGCAGAAATAGCAAAGGTTGTATTTATGTATGGAGTTTTAGCAAACATTATTTTGAAGCCACTAGAACTAAAACAAAATTTGCAATGGTGATTAGGGAGAGAGTGAGGCTGCTGAGAATTGAAGGTATGAGGACAAGGCGGTTATTTTCACGATCCATAAAACCTCAGTAGGGTGCTAACTCTGTGTTCTATATGCTAATTCTAAAATCTAAGTTCTTAAAAAGGAAGCCACAACCTTAATGGCAGAACGTTGGCAATATAGTTTTCAAAACATTTATGTGAACCAGGATAGGGTCAGAGGAGAGACTATCTGATGGTGTAGTCAGTTGAACTATTCCTCAAGCAGCAGTAGAGCAAGCATGGCTATCCTCGTACCCATCCCACAACAAATACCTCAAAACATTTCCTTCATCAGAGTAAATCATAGAGAAGGGTTGGTATAAATAGATCGCTTATTACTGTTCAACCCCTCAGTCACTACCAATGTCCCTGTTCCAGACAATGGGATGTGTCTACCAATCTAAATCTTTGGAATGAGAGATGGTACAAAGAAGGATCTTAGTCATAACATTCACTGACGGCAATTGGTCATAACTTCATATAAAAATCAATTGGAAGCATAAAAAATACACAGGACTATACCAACTATCAACAGAAATAACCTAAGTGTTTGGATCACTTGGAAAACAAATAGCAAGCTGTCAAAAGAGTCAGGCTGTCTAGAGGGCTCCAGAAAGTCGCACATATATCAGTTTTTCATTATACAGGTAAAATACCATGACTTGCAAGAGCTTCACAAGTAAAGGCAGCATAGAACATATCCAAATATGATCCAATATATAAGTGGCTTAAGCTATATATAGAAACATATTTCACCTAAGCCACCAAAAATTGTTTTAAGCGCACATTCAGGCGGACTCAGGTTCAAGAAATAAATGGTTCAGCGAGACACAGATGACATGCAAAATAATCCAACCGACTGCAACGGAGAACAACTTAGCAAAATTAATCAAAATACAGGGTAAAATTCCACAAGCTGCCATGGACAGCAGAGATTAAATATGCATTTTGACAGACTTTCACTCATTGAACAATTAAAGTGTTAAATATTAATATTAAACAAGATCTAAATTTACCTCTTCGACTAATGCTCTTGGAGGAACAAGATGTGCAATGCAACAGGCAAGGCAAAAAAAAAAGGGGGCAACCAATATTCAGCCCCATCAACAAAATGTTAGCAAAAAAAGGCTCATTAGTAGAAACTGCTAATCTTAACTCAACTCAATGAAACCTTATTCCAAACAGCTCATAGCATATGTAATTATACTGAATGAATAAGAAATGCTAAACTCTACCTGCAAGCTAACATCAGATCGGCCCGCTGATTTGGACCCACATACTTGTATTCAGCAAGAACATCACAAACAACATCTAAGAATGCTGTCCTTCTAACAAAAACAGTTGTGCGTATTTTGTACAATTCAAATGTTTTGCTTTTACTTCTAACATCAGTCTCTGAAACCAAATGGCTGCCTCCATCTGCTTTATTGAAGCAAGCATCATTACAACTGTTGTTCTCTTTCTGAAGAAGTTTTTTTGACACATCCTGTCTTGATAACTTTACGCCCAATGAAAGTGAAGCATCCGCAAAACATCCACTTCTCATCAGTTCAAAAACCCTTTGGCTAATCTGATTCAGACAGAAAGAGTCAATTTAGAACTAATATCTAACTTGTTTACTAGCAAACATTAATACCTACCATGAGCTAGAAAGAAGAAAAATGTAGCATAAGCATCAGAGTTTTGGATTTTTTGTCTGTTTACCTCTAAACAATTACTAACATAACGTCATTAGCACAATTCACTTTTTCATGCAACAAATAATCTAATCTGTAATGCTGAACCTTACAAGGCACAACCTGTGAAGCTATGATTTGGTATCATTCTGGAGGAATAAATGACCAACATGACCAGAACAGTGAGTCTCCATACCTCAATGACAATGTAGAGGACCAGATGGATGCAAGAAAAACTTAAGGAAATGAAATACAGGAGGATCCCATCTGCCAACTGAACTGTTTCATTTCAAGAACATAATTTGCATGCAGCCTTTGAAATTAGAAGGGTCCAACAACTAACAAAGAAATATTACAATTCAATTCTATGAATGACAAAATCAAAGGAAAAACAACCCGAAAACCCCATAACTATGTGTGAATCTACACTAGACACGATGACCATCAGCAAACAATTACTAACCAGCAAAATTTGACTAAATGTTTCAGAATGAAAGAAGCATGACCCTGCAATATTTCTCATCCGCAAATTAAAATTGCTAAAGAAGCTTGAGTCGAAAAGGTATTGAGAAAAACCTGGTATGCAGCAGTTGGTGACCCATTGTTACGCCAGTATGAATAATTTTAGGAATAAATTGAGCAAAGGTGAATGATCCTAGAAGATGATGTACAAGGACACGCCGGTAGCCAATCTACTACGGGTTAAGTGGTTAACCCTTTAAAGCAAAGAGTTATAGCAAACTGGACGACGAGTATGATTTTTCACAGTACAGGTAATAAAATTTAAAAATATAACAAATATATTGCATGCATTCTTGATCTGCCACGCAAACTTGGAGAAATTGTAGAACACATAACCTGAAGTCCTGATCTTAATCAGCCATGTTAAAGAAAACGGAGTGCAGACAAAAGAGACAGTTGAGATCAGGAACTTTAGCTCCTTAATAATAAAATCCACATCATATAACAAAAATTAACCAACAATCAACAAACCATAAACAACAAATACGATTAGAATTGGGAGTTTTGAATTTGAGTGAGTAACAATAACAATACCTTGAAACCATGACGAGCTTTGCATCCCATGAGCTGCAGAGTACTCTGCAGAACAGGTCTTGTATACCGGAAAGACTCCTTTCCTTCCTCTCTCTTTTCATCTTCTTCCACCACCACGATGTACAATAATTTCGTCACTTCCGCCATCTCTTTAACAAAACAAAACAACAAATCACTCAAAAATAAAACTAGAGAAAGTGAAAATAAATCAAAATCAGAGAAAACAAAGTACCAAAAAAAATAAAAAAATTACGTGCAAGTTAAGGAAAATTCTATCATCATTAAGAAAGCAAATTGATGCACGTTTGAATGAAACCGTGAAATCCAAATGGTTCAAAGAATAACAACAGAACGCGAAAAGGCTGAAAACATAAACAAACAATGCAGGTAAATGAGGAACGATAGAAAGATACAGATAGAGATTTGCACCTGAAAATCGCGATTTGATCAGATAGCAAGTATGATCATTGAAAGAACCCCTTTTTTTTTTTTTTTGCAGAGAAGGTTACGGGTTTCAACGAGTTACGGTTCCAGATTCGCCATTACAAAAGCTCTTTCCAGCGATCTCTCCATTTCCATGCCACCTGCATATCAGGGCCTCCACGAGCACCTTCTCTGTCTCTCTCTAGGATTCTTTTGTGTGTATCTCTCTCTCTATATTTGCATCGACAAACTTGGGGGACGGGGAGTGTTGGGTTGGTAATTTTCGGAAGATGAGGGGGTTAATGTGTTTAAGGTCAAGTTTGCACATCAAACTCCTTTTTGTCCTTGGAAATTAAGGAGGAAGAGAACGAAAGACATCGAAAAGGACTTTTCCCCGTTAATATTAATATTCGCTTGCCGTAATGGGCTTGTCACATTTATGTAAATTTCACCGAAAACCCTTAAAAGTTCCTATTAATTTTATTCACNGCAATGGGCTTGTCCTTGTAAGAAAATTTACACATTTATGTAAATTTCACCGAAAACCCTTAAAAGTTCCTATTAATTTTATTCACACCTCTTATTCTTAAAATTTGGTCATACACCTATTGCTAGAAATATTTTTGTGGTCATATGTGAGACAAATATTTCAATGAAATGAGAAATCCATATAATAACATGATATTAGTAAAAGGCAACGGTTGTCATTATTTGATGGTGTAAAAAATCGAGAAATGTGAGTGAGTAAGCTGAATATGCTCTAGATGATGTGTGCTCTATGTGTGTGCTAAAGCAAGTAAAGAATGTGGATAAAATTAAGTGGTTCACCTAACTGAGGAGATGAGTTAATTCATTGTAATAGACACTCTTACTCCTTGACTATATATTTCTTGAGGAAGAAGGTGTATACATTAGGGTATAGTGTTACGCTTGTCCTTGAGGCAGCGAATTGATTAGCTTTTTATACATAGATAATCGTTGTTCTCATAGCAAAATTATTTGAAAAATATTTGGTCGTTAATGACTTTTATCTAAAGGCGTAACATGACATTCTAGAATTGATGACATAATCTTAGGAGGCGGTGTCTTATTGCCCAAGGAGGGTTTTACTAGTGAAAATTCTCCTTTACCCCTTCTGGTAATTTCGAAATAGTTTGTCATCTTTTAGAGTCCCATGGTTGACCTAGTCAGCCATTGATTAGGTCTAACCTGACCTGACTTATCCTGTATTGACTAGATCGACAAATGTTGCCCCGACTTGTCATTTAGTCTGAGGTAGATATTTTTTTGTAGCATCATTACTAATTCTCATGAGTAACCTAGTGGTGTAAAATTAACCTTCGAAAAAAAAGTAAATTTTGAGATACTGGGTTCAACCCTTTTTATTGGCCCCTAGTATTTAGCGATGCACGATTTGTGTTGCACGTAAACATATTTAAATAATAAAATTGTTAATAAAAAATTAAATTATTTTTATAATTTAATTGAATAAGTAATGCTTATTTTAATTATTGCTAAACCAAATTATCAATCTATTTTACTTTTTTTGAATACCTAATATGTCATTTTTTTTAATTATCTCCTTCATTTCTTTAAAGTTTTTCTCAAGATATTTATAAATAACATAGATTATAGGGTTTACAATAACATAAACACAATCTATTGCGGAAACTTAAAATAGGAGTATCGTTATGATTTTAGAAACAAAATTGGGTTGTTACCAAATTTCAAAAACCCCATGGGTTATCAATGTAATATATCCTATGTATTCCTACATCCATTTGTAGTTTTTTTTTTTTTTGGACCACTAGATCCATCAGTATCCACTAATCACATAAGAAATCTGTAATAAATTTGTAATGACATAAAGACCCCCTGAACTTTCTAATTAGTAATGAAGTTTTGAACTTAAATTAGTGATTTGATAAATAATTGACTAAGACCAAATGGTTTGACTCTTGACTTCTCCATGTTTGGACCCTGACCAGGAGACTTTTCAATGAGGTGGTTGAGATGATTACCAAGATCAATCCGGGGGTAAAAAAAAAAACAAAGACATAATAAAATGTGAGTTCTTTTTTTAAAATTTATTTGACTTTAAATATCAGTTCTAAACTTATTCTCTTTTAAGTCCTCTTTTTTATCAAATAATTGTCAATAAGTACACATTTTAAAATATTTTTAAATTTTTTTAAAAATATATTTCATAATTATCCCTATCATAAATAGTGTTTACCTACTTGCATGTAAGACTTTCAAAATTAAAATGTGAGACTTTTAAAATTCCTTTTGATATTTGTGTATTATTTAAAATTTGAAATTTCGTATATATATATATACACACACACATATGTAATACAGTGACATCAAACAGTGACACGCTTAACAAAAAAATAATAACATCAAACAATGATATACTCCATCCACAAAAATATTTGTGTTACTGTTTGATATTATTATTTTTTTGTTGAGTGTGTTATTATTTGATGTTACTTTTTTTTTGTTGAGCGTGTCACTGTTTGATGTTACTATTTTTTGTTAAACGTGTCACTGTTTTACGTGTGTGTGTGTATATATATATATATATATATATAATTTCAAAATTCAAATTTTATACAAATATCAAAAAAAATCTTAAAAGTCTCATATTCTAATCTTGAAAGTTTCACATTCAATTAGGTATGCACTATTTATGGTAAGGGGTAAAAGAGTTTTTATGACTTTTTTTTAGTATATGTATTTATATCCTAATTATTTTAAAAAGTATAATTTTATCCTATTAAGTTTTTTGGGAGGTACCGGCCTCCTCAAGCTCCTATAGTTAACACCTTTTTATTT